CTATGCAGGTGAAAGATAAACCAATATCAGCAAAATAAATTGCTTAAAAGGGGAATTAAATCATTATGGATTTGCTAATAACACAATAAAAAATAAAGAGATTAAAAAAGAGGAGAACTGACAATTACAAAGTTAATTGGTTAATTACCTTTTTGAAACTCGATAAATATTTTACGTAATAGTTGAATTGCTCCTAAATATTAATAAAAATTTAAAGGGAAAAGCTTACATAAGTAGGGAAAACTGATGGATAACATCACACACTAGCTGATGGGAGGATTTGATTCCTTTTTCCTTTTTTGTTTTTCACACAAATGACAAATACAGTGTACAAATACGGATACTTTCGATCATATCCATTCATAGTGTTGGCTTGTATTTTATATAACATGTTCTCTCACATAGATAACTGTATATTATATTTTCAAAAGCAATATCAATGTTTACAATAAGAATTACTTTCATGACTTGTATTTGTATAATGTATCTTCTCACGCTGATAATTATATGTTATATTTTCAAAAGCGATATAAATGTCCACACCAAGAAAGTTGATCATGACAAATTAATTGAAACATCGTGATAGAACATACACTAAGAACATCCATTATAATCATACCAATGATAAAGTCAAAGTTAATTTTATTTAAATTATACCTACCTAAGTGAATGTGCACATTCAACAACTAATCATTATATATTCAATTATCAAAAAAGTCGTTTTCGGATCAATTCAAAACCCAAAATCATTTTTAGAAGGTTAAATTCAATTTTTTGGTACAATCGTCCCGGAATTGAGAGAATTTTAGCTAACCAACTTCTAGGAGAAACATAACTAAAGACACTTGTCTAGGTAGATACACCACCCACGGAATTTAAAGAACCTAAAGAAGCATGAGTCATATATTCTGCGGAATGTCGTTCCTGTTTTGGGTCGCTTATCAATGTTAGTAATTGATGATACACAATTCGAACAATTTCTAATTTACCTCAAATGTCCCGGTTTGGCCCATTCCTCGAACAAAGTTTTTCGGGTTCTGTATCTACCAAAATTTTAACTTTTGGTTCTAGAGAGAGCTCATATCGACGTGAAGATTTGGCACCTCAATGTCGGCTCTTTACCACCTGGGACTGTAGTATGTTCCAAGGGTTGGGTTGTTCGCCCATTAAAGCGGTACATGAGTCGTGTTCACAACGTCGTGAGACAATTCGGTTCGCATGGATAAGCCCACACTAACCCGTCAATTTGGGATCCAAATACGAGATTTTCCTTGAGAGTTATCGGGAAGGATTTGGAATGTGTGTATAGAACAAATAGTATATTGATAAAGAAAGTTTTTTCCGAAGTCCAATTAGCGATTAGGTTAAAAAATAAAGAATTTCTAACCATCTTATTGTCCTATAAACTATAACATAGATCAATTAAATAAAATGTTAGCCGAATACACTCATATATAATTCATCATTTCGAGCTTGACATTGAATTTTGAACTCATTGACATGGGATAAAAAATTTATAATGATCGATTAAGATACACGTGCAACGCACGTGTCCAGAAACTAGTACCATAATAAGCGCAAACACTTTCAACCCTTGATCCTCTACATCAACCGTTCTACGGCCCCTTGATAATCATTAAAAATTTAAGATAATTCTCTTTCTCTGTTTCTTTGGACATGCCCTAACAATATTAATTACCCAAAAGATTTTAGCACCTATCCCTAATATTACTAGTTCTCTATTGCCTTCAAAGAAAGAGTAAACGGAGAAAAAAACCAAGTATTTAGCGCGAATCTAGTTCCCTTTATTTAAATGACGGTTTTGACTAGTCCACCCGTTTCACTTCCTACGTATCTGTACTTTTGTTCACAAAATCTTTCTTTTAAATGAGACAATGAGCGTTAGGCTTCCATTTAATAAGAACCCCAAATGGAATGGTAATTTCGTGTTAAATTCTAATACTAATCAATTACTGCATTTTTTAATGTCTTTTTGCTCAAATGGATTGTCCAAATTTCAGTTTGTTAAATGCAATCCTTCTGGTTTTTATTACATAAGATGGTAACTGTTAATTCCTTTGTTTCCTCCGCGGTTGCAGCTTTGGGTAGTATTTTGAAGTCAAATCATGAGTTGCGAACCAAGAATCGCATTGTGATATGCTCAGCTTCTGAACAACGAAGCTTTGGTAATGATTCCAAACGAAAAGGTTCTTGGGAATTGAGGTCCTGAAACTAGCTGGACATAGCTATATAGTGAATGAACATTGATACCACTTTGCTTATCACTTGTGTACAAATTTATTGTTCAAATATAAAGATTTGCTTTTTATATTTTTCATGTGGAGAGATATTAATTACTGAAGGTTTAATTTAGCACGTTTAATTACTAATGCTCATTGTTCCTCCCATCACAAATGAGGGTTAAGAATAGGAGAGTCAGAATATATGTCTCTCGAGTGAATTTGTATATTGATTTCCTTAAATAATTTTTTAAATGAAAAACATAATTAGAAACTATACAAAGTTTGGTAACTAATAATATTTTTATAATCAAACAATAAATTTTCTTTAAAGAAAAAAACTTGACTTCTCAAATGATACAACGCATATATATTGATCGAACAGAGACGAACGTTGGCCATAGTACCTGGGAGTCATTGTTGTGAACCAAGCTGTCTCTGTAAGAGCTTATGGGCTAGAAGAAGTGAATAAGGCTGAGTCAATTGGGATTATTGGGCTGAGTAAAATATTGGAGAGTTTTATTTGGGATTTAGACCTTTTAGCAAATGATTAAAAAGAGACAAGAGGCTATGTTAGGATCGGGAATCCGGGTAGTGCGGAATTTAGCCAAACAACGGTATAATGACAATAACAAAGACAATGGAAAGTGATAATAACGGCAATTAAAGAATATAAAGAAGACACAAATTTAACNTCAACCCAGCATTTGAAATCATGCAACGAGCCCTTTCCAAAAGAGTTCTATTCATCCTTTCTGCCACACCATTTTGTTGAGGTGTCATTCTCACAGTAAGATGTCGAGTAATTCCTTCATTCTNATGCCCCAATCGCATATGCCACAATTTGGTGATGTCAGAATCTGATTTATCTGATATTGAAACTGCAGCAGCACCTGTAACAGTAGATCCCAAAAGAGTATACAACGTACCAGATCTGCGTGCTTTCATGATCACAAGAGCACCATGAGAAATTTTCAGAACTCCATCTTCACCTGTGTACTTGCACCCAAGAGATTCTAGAGTGCCCAAAAAGATGAGATTTTTCTTCAAGTCAGGAACATGTCTAACATCGGTGTGAGTTCTCACCACACCATCGTGCATTTTGATTCGGACTGTACCTTTTCCAATAACTCTGCAGGCAGCATTATTGCCCATCAAGACAACTCCACCTCCAATAGATTCATATGTGGTAAATAAATTCCGACTGGGACACATATGATAAGAACAACCCGAATATAAAATCCACTCATTGTTAGATTTAAAACTATTATTAGTTGCTAAAAAAATAGTTCCCTCAATCTCATCAGCAACTACACTTGCTTCGGCAGTGTCAATATTTTTGTGCTCATTTTTCTTTTCTGTATGCTTTTCTTTGTTTTTCAATTTAAAGCATTCAGAAATAATGTGACCTTTCTTATGACAATATTTGCACATGACATTTCTGTATCTGGATTTTGACCTTGATTTAGGTTTCTCACTACTTGAATCTTTCTTATTGGATCTACCTCTTATGAATAAGCCTTCCCCTTGGTTCCCACTAGTTTCCCCAGTAATATCTCTATCTATTTGTTCTTTTGATTTCAAAATAGATTTGATATCTTTATAAGAGATATTATCCTTTTCATAAAGCATAGTATCTCTTATATGTTTAAACGATTGGGTAAGAAAACAAGCAATAACACAGCTTGATCCTCATCTTTGATTTCAGCATCTATGTTACTTAAATCCATAACAAGAGAATCAAAAGTATCAAGATGAGTAAGTATAGAGGTACCTTCAGCCATACGAAAAGTGTAGAGTTTTTGCTTTAGGTAAAGTCTGTTTTCTACTGTTATTTTCATATATAGGGTTTTAAGCTTTTCCCATATTCCTTTGGCTGAGCTTTCTGTTGCAACTTCACGCAAAACCCCATTTGAAAGATTTAAAATAATACATGCTTTTGCCTTTTTGTCTATGACGGCAAACTCCTCGTCCGTCATTTTATCCGGTATCTTCTCCTTTCCTTGCAGTGCCAAATCTAAACCATCCTGAATTAGGATAGCTTCCATCTTTAATTGCCACATTCCAAAGTTTGTACTTCGGTCAAATTTCTCAACATAAGACTTTGTTAGAATCATTTTGGACGGTTAGATCTGGCTTTGATACCAATTTGTTAGGATCGGAAATCCGGGTAGTGCGGAATTTAGCCAAACAACATTATAATGACAATAACAAAGACAATGGAAGGTGATAATAACGGCAATTAAAGAATATAAAGAAGACACAAATTTAACGTGATTCGGTCAAGGTAACCTACATCCACAAGCGGAGAGGAGCAATTTCACTATACCAACAATAGTACAAAAGAGAGTACAAAATTAGAGTAAATACTCTAATTAATCCCAAATACCCCAAGAGAATAACCTCACAAGATCACTCCAAAGAAAGGGTTCACACAAGTGTTTTCCAACACTCACTCTCTTACAAAATAATCTATAATGAAATAAAGGAGGAGAAAGAAAGACAAGAGTGAAAAGCTCTTGAATTGGTGTGTTTGCAAATGAGGAGTAACTCCTCTATTTATAGCAAGAAATCCTTGGCCTAATAATGGATATTATGTCATGAAAAATGTCATGATCCACGAATTTGTTATAATGGATATTATGTCATGGCAAATGTCATGAACCACAAATTTGTTATAATGGATATTATGTATGACAAATGTCATGAAAATTTGGCCAAATGATTATGCCAATTGTGATGTTGAATATGTTCTCTCTCATCTCTTATTATTAATTTCCTCATCCCCTTCGGTATCGGTCTATGTTTCTTACCTCTTTCTTCTTATAGTTCTTCTATGTCATTGCAATTGTTACTCCTTGTAATTCTGTTAAGTAAGGGCAATACTACAAGTGAGTTTACTTGTGTGCGAATTGATTATTTTAAGTTTGTTACATTGGTGCTTTCGTCCATACGTCTCTAATGTTGGACCAAAAAGTACTCCAGGCTTTCGTCGATGACTCAATTCGTGATTCAATCAGAAAATGAAGATTCACTTTCTAAGGATTTCGCCGATATTCGTTTGTTCTTAATGGAGCTAGTGGGGAAAAGGCTACAACGTCCATTCCACCCCGGGATCCAGCAATCCGCAGTCCGGCAATACCTACTCTTCATGACAACCCAGTTTCAGTGGAATTAAGGCGGTTCCGTGGTGGAAATCTGGAGGCTTAGGTTTTAGAGGAGGGGAGATATTTTGAATTTTACTCCATTGCCGACGAATTTAAACTCTTATTAGCATCATCTTACTTGGATGGCGAAGCTTTAGCATGGTTCCAGTTGCTATATCGGAACAAATAATTCGTCGACTGGAAGCATTTTACGGAGAAACTGAAGTTGCATTATCGCAAATGGATTCCCCCTGCTTCAATAGGGTGTTCAACTGATTTCCAATTTTACTCTAATTGTTCGGAAACATTAGCACTACCAGAGACCTATGTAAGTCCTCTAACTGCTAAGAGTAATATTTCCAACTTCTGTGAGTTTAAATCAAAAATAATTTTTGAAGATGGAAACTCAGAGGTCAATCATATGTTCGATGAAATGCCTACTAAAGGCTTTCCCAAAGCAATTGAGGAAATTTGTTTTGTTACAGCTGCGTGCCACGACACAGATGCAAATACGCATACCTCTCTCTTTGCAGCTAATTTGGACAATAATCACTCACCTAAGATTTTCGACAAAATGTTACATAGTTGCTTTCCCAAAGTAATCGTCGAGGCGCAATCAGGTGCTCCAATCAACGATGAAGAAGCTACAGAGAGCGATACCCAATGGTTGGCTAAAAGTACTCAACGAGATACTGCCGAACAACTCAGTCACTTTGCAGCTATGATTTTGGTTCCTTTTGCTAGCTTGGTCCCATGTGATAAGTTTCCTATTGGTCTAACACGTGTTGTACCTGTTAATGTCAATTTGGACTATGGTCATATGCTTGATACTTGTTATTACTGCCATACGAAGGCTTGTGCTTCTCTCTACTATGCGTCTGAAGCAATAATATGGACTATCCCATTTTGTAGTTGTGTGGACAATTGGTTCGACACAGGGCAATATTTTGGGGCTGCTTCATATGTTCTTTTAACTGTTGAATCTGCAGATTTAAAACAAATTGAGGGATTCGCTCCATTTATCACCCAAACAGAGTTAGGCAGTGAATGTGGCGAGAGTGTAGATTTTTTCAGTTTCTTAGTAGATCAACTATCTGTATCCTTGGTGCCTGCTGATTTTTGGGATGTCGCCACACATAAAAGCGTGAACAATGGAGTGAAATTATTTGTATGCCAAGTTTTGGGAGGTACACAAATTTCTGTAGTGCCACATGAACATTTGGAACGAGATATGCCAACGAGAGAAGGAGACCGCCATTATGACGTGTGTAGTGCATTATGTAAAGTACTTCTTGAAGATGAGAATGGAAGTTCTACTGGGGAATTCAATGATCAATGTATTTTGGGTCAATTTCCATTTAATCCTGCTGCTAAATTCCTTATAGTAACCATTTACGCAACTGCGTCGGGTCTTAGTGTATGGGATCCTGGAATAAGTTTCGTGTTCTTGGATCTAACCGATTCTGTAGAGTACGTGGCGGTCTTACCATTGCTGGAATGTATTAGCAGTTTGTGCTTCATCGCATATTCCAACTCTAAGACTAAAGTGTGGGATCCCGGACAACTATGGTTTGTGAAATCATACAATTTGCAATCTCCTTTCGCATTGTCTGTTACTACTTTACCAAGTTTAGGTCACTTCTATATTGCTGATTGGATTTGTGTGTGGTCTCAAGCACCCCTGGCCATTGCTTTACCTGGTAGCTATTCTTATGCTGACGCAAACCAAAGTTTTCTTCTCTGTTCACCAAAGATAGCCTTCTTACCTCTTGTAACTAATTCTTCTGGAGAATTAATTTTGGCCAAGGATGACATTGAGTTGTTAAGAAACATCAACTGCAAGAGTACACGAGTTGCTATACTTGGGGATATGCTTGAACTCGGTCCAACAGAATACATGTATAATGAGTTGATGTTACAGTTATGTTGTGATGCCCATCTTAATGTAGTTGCACTTGTTGGAACGAGGTTTTTCACTGCAGTTGAGAATATAAATTGTGCCGACGAGATAAAACTGGTATGCACCAATGATGCTCACTGCATGGCTTCTGAAATTATCAATTATCTAATTAATGGTGATGGCATCCATGTCCAAGGCAGTAGTCAAAGGCAATTGGGAGTGACTTTGGCTTTTGTCAACTTTATATTTCCTATAGAACTATGTCGTGCAATAGTGAGAAAGAATAAGTCAACTGAATCATCGCTATTGAGTTCGAGTCTTTGGAAAATGAGTGAAATATGTGCATCCACTCTTGGCGGTGATTATATGTCAAGTTTACACCAGGTTTCTCTCCTTCTATCAGGATGTATATGCAACAATATTTTATTTGGGGAAAACTGTGATCCAAAGTTCTATTGGAAGGCACTACTAAATAAGTTCTTTACCTCCAATCTGTCCTTGATGTTGCTGAAAGTTGCTATGATCCTATGTGGACAAGGAGCCATGTTACAAAACCCCATGATTATCATTCTTCTTAAAGCCATCACTACTCTTGCTACTGGTTTGGAAAGAATTGGCCAAGAAGCTCAAGTCAAGTGTGACTCTCTCCCTGCCAAGATTCTAACTTGTTGTCTTCGGATTTGTGGTGACATGGAACTAAAGGTTGTCAATACTACAGTGGCCACCATCTCTTGTCCCGTTGACAAAGTTGTGATAGTTCACATATTCTCGTTCTATTTCCCAGAACACTTTTGTCTAGAGACATTTGGCGGAGAGTGCGTTGCTAATACTATTCTTGGCTCGAACCTTGAGGACAAGGTTCTTTTTTAGGGCGGGAGTATTGTTGTGAACCAAGCTAATTCCGTAAGAGCCTATGGGCTAGAAGAAGTGAATAAGGTTGAGTCAATTGGGATTACTGGGCTGAGTAAAATATTGGAGAGTTTTATTTGGGATCCAGGCCAATTAGCAAATGGTTAAAAAGGGACAAGAGGTTAGTGACAAGGATCATGCGAATTGTGATGTTGAATATGTTCTCTCTCATCTCTGCTCTGTATCACTGATTTCCTCGTCCCCTTCGGTATCGGTCTTTGTTTCTCACCTCTTTCTTCTTATCAGTTCTTTTATGTCATTTCAATTGCTATTCCTTGTAATTCTGTTTAGTAAGGGCAATACTACAAGTGAGTTTACTTGTGTGCGAATTGGTTATTTCAAGTTTGTTACACCCGTGTGGAAGGGCTCTCGCTCAACGGATCAAATGACACGTCAGGATAATAGGCTGATGACTCCCAAGAACTCTTATAGTCATAGTCATTTGGCACCTCAATTTCGACTTATCACATCTTGGGGTTGAAGAAGATCCCAAGGGTTTGATTATTTGCTGATTCAAGTGGTACGTGAGTTGGACTTAGAACGTCGTGAGACAGTTATGTTCCTATTTATCGTCGGTGTCAACGGTAGAACTGTGAGAAGCCAATCCTAGTATAAGAGGATTGGGTTCGAGTTGTTATGCCAATAATAGCATCGGGCAGCAATTATGCACCACGGGAAATAACAATTAGACATTCTAAGTATTATTTTGATGGATATGTTTAAGTTAGGGAATAGTATTGCAAGTGAAAGTTATAACACTCTAAAACAAGCGCATCGTTCTGCCATGTACACAAGTATATTACTCGATCACTCAATTGGTTACAGAACATCCTTTTAGAGGATATCCGATGAAAAAGAAAATATTGGTTACAGAATAATAGACCTATTCTTTTCATTTTCAATGAATGCTATGGATAATATTTTGAAAATCCAGCTTAATAAATAGCAGGGATTATTATGACATAAACCAAGCAACATAGAAATTTCAAACGTCCTAAGATACATCAATTAAGGGGAAAAAATGCTCCATCCATTTAATTTATGGACAGAAAACCACTCTGTAATTGGTTCCAGTAGGACAAGTGAACCTACTAGTGGGGTCATCTAGAGGATAACTGTAAGAAGTTGAACATCTATCCTTAAAGAACTTGGAATACTGGGTTGGACCACAATTGCCAACAGATGTGCAACAATATTCCGCAGTCTTGAAAACAGTACAAGGATTATTACAGCCTCCAGGAATCCTTAGTTCATTCGGACACTGTCCTATGATGTCGGCAGTGCAGCTGATCCTAACAGAACAATTACCAGATGTTGGACTAAATTCCATTGGGACATTGAAACCGTCTACAAGAGATATGTCGAAGAAATCAAGATTGTTAAATTGGTTTAGGCTGTATTCAGCCAAAGTGTTTGGGGTTGTGCCAAAAGCTTGACATTCGAGGACTCCATTGCAATCGCCGGTTTGACATTGACCACGGCCAGATGCGTCAAAATTGCAATTGGTTCGGCCCCAGATACGTTTTCCATTGGAACCGTTTGAAGGTTGGAGTCTCCATTTTCCACCGTAGTCGAGACGTCGGCCGCCACCAGGAATTGCTGCTGCCCATACGGTAAAAGGGCAATTGTTTCGGATGTCGATTGTTGTAACTGCTTGTGTTGAGAAAAGCTGATAAGCCACAACAGAGAGGAATGTGAAGAAGCTGATCATCTTTACTTTTGGGAGGGTGACAAAAAACAATGATGGAGAGGGATTTTTAATGGAGGCCTAGAGCTAAGGACGAATAGTCAAAGGAGCTTATTGGTCAATAAAATGGAACTCACTAAACTTCTCATAGAGAGGAAGACTAGACTTTTTGACTTCAAATTTTTAATTACCTCAAGGAGGGAACAGAAATGGTACATTTTTAACGGTGGAGTTACATTTTTTTTTAGATATGAAATTGTGGAATTTCATAATACCATAAAGTTCCAACATAATATACTTAAAATTTAGCGTGAGAGCTCCAAAATCCAGCATATTATATTTGAATTTTTCATGTGCTGGAGTTCCAACATAATATGTTGGAAGTTCATACGCATGAGCTCCATATTAGTATATTATGCTGGAACTTTCCATGTTTCAGTAAAATAGTGATTATTTTTCAATGACCTTGCTGGCTATTTTTTTAACTACCCATTCGAAAAATGGCTAGCTCGTGTTATTTTTACTAAGAGGAAGATGTAGTAGGTTTGCTACCGGTTCAATCGACATTTATTTATATTTATAGATGTATGATTATAACAATTTCAAGAAATATAAATTTTAATCTCATACTTTCAAAAGTGCAATAAGTTCAATTAAACAATCTTAAAGATCAACAGTATAAAGTTTATATACTAGATCCATTTCTAATTAGTGGTTGGCATGGTGCTTTTATAGAGATGATAAATCAATGTGGAAACAGAGGAGTAGTATTTAGCTGCAGATACCATAATAAGCACAAACACTTACAACCCTTGATCCTCTACATCAACCGTTCTACGGCCCCTTGATAATCATAAAAAAATTAAAGAGAATTCTCTTTCTCCATTTCTTTGGACATGCCCTAACAATAGTAATTGCCCAAAGATTTTAGCACCTACCCCATATTAATATTACCCCTATGAAATAATATTAAAAGAAATAGAGTAACCGGAGAAAAACAAGCGCGAATCTAATTCCCTTTATTTAAATGACGGTTTTTCCTAGTCCACCCGTTTCAATACCTAAGTATCTGTACTTTTGTTCACCAAATCTTTCTGTTAAATGAGACAATGAGAAACAGCAGATACAGCGGCAAAATCAAAATGCAGATTATTCATACTCAAACCATCGCTTCTCCTCTCACAAATATCTTCCTTAATAGCACCACCTCATCCACCCTAGCTTCTTCTCCTAAAAAGCCCTTCAATTTCAGTCCTTTTCCATCTAAGAAAAACCCCAAATGGAATGGTAATTTCGTGTCAAATACTATACTAATCAATTACTGCATTTTTTTGACTCAAATGGATTGTCCAAATTTCAGTTTGTTAACTGCAATCCTTCTGGTTTTTATTACATAAGATGGTAACTGTTAATTCCTTTGTTTCCTCCGCGGTTGCAGCTTCGGGTAGTATTTTGAAGTCAAATCATGAGTTGCGAACCAAGAACCGCATTGTGATATGCTCAGCTTCTGAACAACGAAGCTTTGGTTATGACGCCAAACAGAAAAGGTTCTTGCGATTTATCTGTTCTTTAAGTTTATACAGATACTGATTTATGACTTGGCTGTATAAAAAAATCATACTCCTATGTTCTTAGCCCAATTCAGTAAGACATTGATAATATGACAGGAATGTAGTACTATTGCGTGACTCCTTTTAATCAGCATATGACTTAGTGATAATCTCCTAGGTCTTCACACCTTTTCTTTTATAGGAGTAATTTAAATGTTTTTCTAATCAAGTATAAGTGGCCTTATGTGCAATGGTCTTTCTGGTGTACTTATGTAAAATGTAAAAGGGGAAAAGGACATTAAATGTTATCCGACTTTTAATTTGACAACAACTGGAAAGATTCTACGTTTCGTTTTGTCTTACAGCTTTTACTGTTTTATACTTATCTTGATTATGTAGACCTTAACAAGTCTTGCTTCGCTGCCCCAAGGCTTTGGCCTAGTGGTAAGGGCGCAGTGTGGGACATGTGAGTTACGTGCACGTCATGGGCTAGAACCTTGCCGCTGAGTGGAGAAGGGTATAGAGACGGGGCAATTGTATACCATGTTGCGAACCGTGTGCCATTGGCCCTAGGGTTTCTCGGTTATAAAAAAAAGTCTTGCTTCGCTTATCTCAGCTTGGCAATTCTAGATTGTGATATTCCTCTCTCCATATGTAGTCTAGAATTCGTTTTGCTTTGCATTTTGTTCATTTTTGGCTCTGAGTTGCACATTTAGTAATACTTTCAAAGAAAGATGAGGATAATTATAAGAGAATTTTCGTTAGGGTGGAAGCTCCAGAAATTCTTGTAAAACTGCTTATTACTTAACCAACTAATCTGCCAATAGAATTTTTACTTGGGCATATTTTCTGGTAGCTTATTGGAAATATAGCATTTTCTTCACCCGTATACCCCAGTCCTGATTGTAGTTTATATCTTTTTCATGTTGCATGGTATGTTCTCTCAAAATTAGCTCACCAAATGCATAAAGTATCAGTTTCTTTCTGTATTCTGTTTTCTCAAATTTTATCTTGACAAAAAAATCCTGCTTGTTGCTTGCAGAAAAGTAGTTGAACACGTGTGTTTGATCAAAGGGAAGGAGGACTTATCTGAAGAACAGGAGAAAGATATGCTGGATTACCTGTATACAACCCAATATCAAATGCGTGGCATTCTTTCCATCTCACTAGGTCATAGTTACTTCTTGTTTGACTTCTGCATTGATATAATAAGGGCCGTTAGTTTTTGCTTTACTCATGCTATGTGGAATTTTAGTCAGTTCTTGTATTTGTTGCACTTATGTCTGGTCTGATATGTCTTTGTTGACAAAGCATAATATAAGATCTACTAAAATGTGGTCAAGTCCTAGGCAGCTAAACAGAGAGTACAAACTCTTCTAAAGAATAAGTTTAAATTTCTCCGATGTGGAATCATAAAATGAAGAAAGTGATTTATATATATAATTTGACCTAAATTGTTTGGGTTAAATCCGGTTGCTTCTCATCCTGAACATTGCTAAGCTTGTGCTACCAAATAGAGAAGCTTCAGTTCAGTCTTCCTCTCAAGTTTGTTTTGCATGAAGTGGGGCAGAGGATGCCTTTTGAGGTGTCTATTCTCTAAATGTTTGTTTAACATTCTATTAACTGCTGTAGGACGCATCTCTGGTGGGAATGATGATAAATATAGCCATGCTACCTACATGCGCTTTCAGACAAAGGAGGATCTCTTGAAGTTCTATGAGAACCAATTCTACGTGGGAGTCCTTAGGGACCATGTACTGCCTTACTGCCATGTATGCCCTAACATGTAAAGAACAAAATCCTTTGTGCCTTTTGATTTGTATTTGTTAGTTCTGCTGCAGATGGAATCCCGCCCCCTTCTTTAATTTCTGAAACGTTTAGCATTACATGTTGACAGGAAATTATCAATGCCGATTTTGAGTCCGAAGTAGAAGATGATATACTGCCAATATTTCGAAAAGGAGAGGTTGAAACATATCCACTTACTTGAATCTCGTTAGAATTTTTGTACTTGCTATCTTAGAGTTGTTATTCCCTTTGTCCATCCAACTTATTTATGTTCTTATATACTTAATGCGGGATAGGCTAATCTTGAGACTTCTTCTAGAATAGGGTAATTGTTGATCCCCAACAGTGAGGCTTACACTCATTCTCATTAGTTGTTCAATCTTTAATGTGTATTATTTGGTGGTTTCCAGATTCTGCAAGAGACAGTCTTCTGAACTATTAATATTGTATTTCCATTTTTTCTCATCCAATCTATCTTTATTTTGCATGTCTTTCAGTGATTTTAGTGCTAGCGAGCATTAGGGAGTGACGGTAGGTTTTTGGTATCAACATGAGATATTTGACTGTGTTTGGGTGGCAGGAGTTCAACTATGGCGTGGAGCTTGTACTTCTGATAGCATTTGTCAAGAGTTCTTTGGATGGTCCTGCTGAAGATGCTTTGCTTGCTCTGTCAAAGCTGATAATGGAGTTCCCATCCTTAATCGTTCAGGCTACTCTTGGTATTCCTGGAATGTTTTACTGATGATGTACTTATCTATAGATTGTTTCCCAATTGACATGCTGCATTTTCTTGTTTAGGATAGAAGTCATAAGAAAACATAATCTGGAAAAAAAACAAACTTGGAGTTCAGAGATATTTAATAACATGAAAGGATTGTTTTAATCCATGTACTTTCAGTTATTCAATCACTGATCGGATACACATTTCCTATTCTCATTACTTGTTCCGTGGTACTGTTTTCTCTACCAGTTCACCAGCACCTCACAGAATTATCTCTCTCTTTTTCAGGTTCAATTTTTAATATTTCCAGTGTGGAATATACTCATGGTGTAGTAATACGGTTTCGCTCTTGTGAGCTCTCATCTTTTTCCTTTTACTTGCAATTTGAAATATTTCCGACAACTAACTGTGAATTTATCTATCAGCTGAAGCATTCCAGATGTTCATGAACAGTTCAGAATACAATAATGTAAGGACACCCGATCTGTAGCAGGTCTTCCAATCTTGGAATCTCTATCTTTGCTACTTTATTTGTACAAAACATATTTTAATGGAAGCACTGTCAAACTTAATTGCTCTTTAACAGATAAGTTGATATTATCTTTTATCGATTTTAGGTATTTAAAGCCTCTTGTAATTACATTTAAGTTGTGAGATAGATTATGCTTCAAAATACACATCCTGTACAATGGCTGTATCTTCTAGCTATCATTGTCATAACATATCCAAATAATTGGTTTAATTATTTTGAAGTTTTAAAGGAAGCTAGAAGTAGCTTAGGTCAAAATTTCATAACTTGACGATGATGATTCTACTTTCTAAAATCTGAACGCTTTCCTTATTGAAAGCAGATGTGGAGATCTAAATTTCAGCCAATCGTCCAAAAACATCTCTCTGCTCATTTTTCGGTTGATCCAGTGGGCACAGAGCTTATGTAGCAAAATTTCATCCCATTACCTGAGTTACATATGAGGCGTTTAAACATCCTATTTTGGATATTGGCTGACTCTGGTGGCTTTGAAGATTCCTTTATTACATTACAATGCTCCCTTTTCCAGAGAGAACCAGCAGGTTAGCATTTAATTCACTGGAGGTCCCTTTTTCTCCTAACATGATATCTTAGATTGTGTTTGTGTTCTCATCGAGCACATTATTTAATGATTGGGAATATATTTGAATTTGATGGCTTTTGTGTTACTTTGCTATTCTAACTGAACTAGAATTATTCTCATCTAGTGAGTATATACCCTACAGAAAAACAGTTTTAATTGTGTGACGAACATGCTATGGATAGGGTACCTTGTATAAACTCAAAGGCGTGCATAATCTTTTGGCCTTTAGGATCCAGTTACTAGAAGATCTTGTTGGGAAGCAAAATGAGTTGAGATATTCAGACATTCTACTGAAGTATGCACACCTGGGAAAGCAGAAAAAGAAAGTTTTTCACTGAAATATGTTTATAATTAAAAATATGCAGCTGAATTTTGCTTCTGTGAGTCGTCGAACTCATTTTGGGATATCCACTAAATAATTTGCATCTTTTGTTTCTCATAGCAGACATATTGTAACAGGTACGAAACTAACAATTGCCTCATATTGAGATTGTCATCCGTCTGGGAATTCACCTCGAAATGCTAAAAATGAAATGTTGGACTGCTTGAAGGACTTATTATTAGAATCTTCTTATGATGTACTATAGTAAGCATTTGTATCATATGTATCCAATGGATCGAAAAGCCAGCTGGCTTCTCCACCAGTGAGGCTATTATTGCTTTTTTTGTTTGTTTAACCAGGCTTAGGATAGAAAATAAGGAAGAAAAATGTACCTTATTTGGCTGCTTTTGAGACTAGCTAGTTGACTTCTTTGCATCAGCCGCAGTTTTTGATTTGAATGGACATATTTTAATCAAAGTCGGTGAGTGATCCCAATTTGATTGATTTTTAGCAATATTAGAAATTTGTCTTTTGGCATGTTTCTTCCTTTTCACTATCTGTGGCCTTCTTATTATTATCTTGAAGTTGTTTGAGTTACTATGCTTTTAAAGATCACATTATGCAGCTTTTGAACTACTTGATAATTAGATCAAGTTTGCTTGATAGAAAGAGCAGCTCCTGCAGTGTATAACTGAACTGGAAGTACAAAGAGAATTTTATACATTTGGTAAATGAATACAGAAAACATCAAAAACAGTAGGCAAAAGAAAGGAGGAGGAGAAGAAACTTTTAAGTTCCATGAAATATTTATGTACAATATCACTTGGAACATGTTACAGAAGACTATCCATTACTAGTTTATATTGTTTCCTAGTATAAAGTTGTGATTGCCTCAATATAAAACCAAAAGAATAGAAAATGATCACAATTCACACCACTAACTGCAAAACCTGAGATTTTGTAGAAACAGTAAGATGAGTGGAGACGCCTCTTGCAGAAATGCATGGTAAGATTGCGTACAATAAACTCTTGTGGTCCGGCTCTTCCCCGGACCCGCGCATAGCAGGAGCTTAGTGCACCGGGCTGCCCTTTTAGTAAGATGAGTGGAGAAGATAATCAATTGTGTAGAGGGTTCGGTCCTCCCGGAACAGCGTGATGTGAAACTGCGTAGCTTTGGTCAAAAACTTCATTTCTTGTTGGTTTAGGATCTGGTGCAGAAAAATGCCATGAAAACCTGGAATCTAAGTCTCTTTTGAATATTTGCTCTTTGCTTGTAGTGGTAATTTCTTGGCTGTTACTGCAACTTGAAAGTTGGCTCAGAATGAGTATCACAATAATTAGGAGAAATAGCACAGCAGGGTACTGAGTTTTCATGACTTGATGATAATTTAGAAGCAGAATAAGTGAGGAAATTGGCAAAAGAAAACAGGGCAGTGTCATATGAGCTTATTCACTTGTACAGACTGATGAGTTGTCTTATTAATTTGCGTTGAAAAACCTATGGTGCAGACAAGGACTGGGAAAATAGTACTACTAAATAATCTTGGCCTGTGTAAATGACAAGTGTACCCTCAAAACGTTTCATTTGTTAATGCTCAATAGTTTAAGAATACTCATATTTGCTTGTAACCCGCACCAGATGTTTAAACTAAACCATGCTTAAGTCATAATTTAAAGCTTCTACTCGTAGTTTCTATTATTTTTTAATTAACGTCTTACATATAATGATCGATAGTAGTAAACACAAAGTACTAGTAGAACTTTTAGAATTTAGTTGAAACGAACCCGAGACAAGGTAATTGTAATCTATAAATATTGAACCCCAACTATATGCCAGTATACTATTCGGGGAGTCAATATGTCACAACCCGAAATTTCACACTGACGGGACCGTGATGGCGCCTAACATTTCACTTGCTAGGCAAGCCAACGTTAGAGAATCATTAAACCAATTCCTTATTCTCATTCAGTAATTAACAATAATTAACTAAGATGAAATATAATAAGTGCGGAATATCATAAAACTGTATTAATTATTGTCACCCGGATCTGGAGTCACAATTCACAAGCATTCTAGAATTTACTACAAGTAATAGTCTGAAAGAAATACAACTGTCTGAATGAAAGAAAACAGTAGGGCATAAAAGATAGACGGGGATTTCAAGGTCTGTGAATACCGATAGATCTACCTTGAGTCTCCGGACAGCGGACCAATAACAAAATCTCGATCAATCTGAGCCGGTATCAAAATCTGCACAGAAAGTGCAGAGTGCAGCATCAGTACAACTGACCCCATGTATTGGTAAGTGTCGAGCCTAACCTCGACGAAGTAGTGACGAGGCTAAGGCAAGGCACGTACAAATCAACCTGTACAATTTAACAGTGTATATACAAATAATAGAAATGAAGAACTAAACAGGAATTGTCGGGAGGGGAACATACTGAGGGGAATACAAGATAATGAACTACAATAGAATGATCACCGGAGCAGTCAATATACCATGAATCAACAGGAATAGTGAATACAGTAAGAAAAAATGCACGGCATCACCCTTCGTGCTT